CTCCTACTACCGAATGAAGAAGCTCTAACAACCTAATCAGATTCTATCTATCTCAGGTAGCAGCAGAAATCAAGAAAAGCTGATCAGACTTCAATCAATTCAATGAAACATGCATCATTCGATTAAAACCAAACAATATAATCATCCCAAGTCATTACAATCAAATCCCTAACACATGGAACTAGGGTTCTTCATACCCAAGTGAGAGAAGGGCTCTACTCCATAGAGAGAGAGAGAGAGAGAGAGAGAGAGAGAGGAAAACAGAAATCAGAGTAGTCATACTCAAAAAGATGAGGAAAATCTGCTCTGGGATGTCAATCTTCACTCCTGGGGACGCAATCTGGGCTTCAATGGTGAGAAATCCACTCAAAATAGCTCCTAGGGTTTGTTCTTCGTCCTTTCTCTCTCTAAAACTCTGTTTTTGCTATGGAAAGTCGACTCCTCTCATTTGTGGCTCGAAATTGGGTAAAAACCAGAATTCCCGACTCACACGGGCAGGCCACACGACCGTGTGGCTTACCCAGATGCCCGTGTGAGAGACAAAACGCGGCGTTTCAAATTATTGGACTTCAGGCTACCTACACGACCAGGGACACACGGCCGTGTGGCATGCCTAGTCTGCCCGTGTGAAGGCTCGCACAATCCCACACGGCCAGATTGGTTACTTGCACGGCCGTGTGGGTTTTGTGTGTGCCCGTGTGGCTTCCTCAGCGACTCGCCACACGTCCGATCTTCGTCCAATCGACCCCGAACTCGCTCCCAAACCTTCATTCACGTACTAGGACCTGAAATATCACAAACAAGCACAACCTAGCGTGAAATCGGCCTAAAACACGAGAATCAACATCTCAAACGGCTTAAGAATAGGGGTAAAAACATGTGCAATTAACAGTTTATCATTGGACATTATCCAGTTATGTCTTTAACGAATGAACGCATTTTGCCCGGCGAAATGGTTTGGGGGAGAAACTGGGCCACTCGTTCATACATGATTTTGGCAATTATTTTATATACGAACTGACATTAACTTATAGGTCTCAACTGTCTCATATTTTCCACATTATCCATTTTGGGGATCAACGCCACCCAAGTGTGATTAAAGCTTCGCAACACCCGCTCCGTTCGAGAGAAGGAGGAGACAACTTCAACTATTGACTCACCAATGACGTCTCAAAATGCTCTAAAGAATTTTCTAGTGGACCCATCCTATCCCAACGCCTGTTTGGAACCGAGCGAGAAGACAGTTCGCCGAACTTAGGATGCCAGGACTTCAGTAGTCAGAGCTGCATTCATCTCAGAAGTTACCATCTAACCAAGAGGTAAATCATCCACCAGGGTTTCCATATTTTATACCTGATTCTCAGAGGTGAAAAGCGTCTGAAAAAATTGACAGAAATATCCACCTTCCTATTTCCATCAGTGATCCATTGTCCTTCCCCATTTCTCAAACCAGCCACAAAATTCCTCTTCCACCTTGCCCTTGTCACCGTGTGGAAATAAGAAGTGTTACTATCACCTTGTTTGATCCACCAGATCCTAGATTTCTGATGCCAATAAATTTCCTCAAATCTTCCATTGGCGACTTAGCTCCGTGTCAAGATCTCCCACCCTATCCCAGTTGATGGGGTTCACATGCTTGACCCAATCTAAATCTGGAGGCTCTTAATGTTCCGCAAGGAATTTGTAGTACCAACCCTACTGTAGTCATATAGGAAGTAACGAAGGCATTTTAAACGAAACCAAAGTCTGTACATGGGGGGTCCAAGGTCAGTTTCATTCCACACAAATACCACCATTGCCCTAACTTTAGGATTCTCTGCCCATCGAGCATCAAATATGTAGAGATGACGGCTCTAGCTTGTGAATAGCTTATCAAACAAGATAAGAGCCCTATGATCCAACCCTTGGTCCGTGTAATGTTTCGCAAGGGATTCCAGAAAATGATCCATCTAAGACAGAGAACAAAGAGCTCAATCAAGCCGGTCCCATCCGCTAGTTGTTCCCTGTGAATTGGTCACCATGGTATCCCACGTCATGTAGGCCGGGTCATTCATAAAATCTCAAAGAGAAATAGAGCGGGACGGATTGTAAGGGTTCCACCATCCTTCTCATTTCCTGATAAAATTGTATTGAATACCTATCGCCACATAGAGCCATTGGATTTCTTCACATTGAATATGCAATTGGGTCAATTGAGCATACTGAATAGCCTCATTACAACTGATATAAACGTAGACAACCACATAGGACAAATTATTCTCATTTACATGAACAATAATGTAAAAAATGGGATGACTAAACACTAAAGCATGAACTCCAGGGGACCAACCTTCAACAAGACTACCATACGCATCAAACGCGCGTCAACCAAAAAAAACATCGAGAAATATCAAAAGCTAAACCTCGCGTCCTACGAGACACAACCCTACGGGTTGATCTTGTTTCTGAAAGGAAAACAAGCTGAGGCTTATTAGAACGAATTAAACCTATAGTAGTACGGAATGTGAGGGTAAGTCCAATCCCTCTCACATTCCAAGCCACAATCCTCATTTATCCAACTGAGGTCATTCAAGGCTGGCTACCTCCACCATTTCAGTTTCCTCTTCCTCCTCCACAAATTGTCTCTTCTGGGATGGGGCCTCCTTTAGATAACCCTCCAGATCATGAAAAGAGCATTTCCTCGATCCCACCATCAGATTGTCTCTTCTTAGATGGGGCCTACTTTGAGCCATACTCGTTTAGATGCAAAGTCTTAGACAATCGGACACCCTGAACCAAGTCTTTCATCCTTTGCCAGAGTCTTCTCCGCTGGCCCACCCCCAAACGCCCCGCTTCAAAAGCTTCAACAAAACGCCTAACATGGCCCATCCCCTGCGGTCGAGAAAAGGTCTATGTAGGAGGAGCTGAATGAATCTTCAACTCAAAATTATTCCCACTGTTCTACATATACAGGCTGGAAAGACACCCTTCAGATATGGTATCCTCAGATTCATCCTTCACACTGAGCCTTCCACCTGATTCCTCTCGATCCAGTATCTTAGATTTCACCTGCTTATGACTAGTCTTAGTCACATTTCCACCACCCCTTGCAGGACCAGACGGCTCTACTCTGTGACTTTGTTGTTGCCGTGTAGATGGATTCGAAATCGGGTCATAATCCGAGCTAGCCCCCTAGCAACCCATCTTCATCATCTTCCACTCGTGCTTAGTCGACCCAGATATGTCCTGCTTCCTCGTATGATGATCGGCCAATCATCCATAAAGGTATTCCATTCTAAACTTGTTAAAGTTGAAGGGTTGAAAAGACATGTTCCATAGCCAACAAGATTAGGGTCTAAACACAAAAATGGTATGTAGTAGTCATTTCCAAGGCTAGCTACATCAACTGTACTTAACTTTCCCACTAGCTATGGATCTTCTTCCCTATGAAAACCAAAAAAAGTATTGTCGTCCTAGCATTCTGAAGAATAGGATCTAAATTTAGCCGGTTTTGATTATCTTTTTCGTTTCTTTGGTCACATGAGTTGTAGGTCATTGTAGATCATACTTGTTCTCTTCCATATTAGATTCATCCGACTTGTCATAAACTTCTATAGCCTCATGATTAAGCAAAGCTTCCCAATCCACGGTCATATTCTGGTAAGTGAGAGTCGAGCACGGGTAAATTCTGAGTTGTCAAACAGTCGACTTTCAATCTAGAAATTATGGTTTGAATCTCCGATTGCACTTATTAACGTTCCTCCTATTATGGTACCCTATCTCTCATAAACATCTCTAAAGAGAATGAGAACTATCACTAAAATCTCGCGGATCAAAAGAAGTCCTGCTGCCCTGTTTTAAGCAAAGTGAGTAGACCTTTAGTCTATCCCCTATTGAATAATGAAAAACATTAAAAATAACTGGAAGGATCAATAAGCTTGCATCAAAGCGAAGAAGATGATTATCATTTGTTTATTTATTTCAGAATAATTTGGTCAATGACTTAAGTTTTACGTATAGGGAAAAGTTGTAGTACAGGGGCTTTTTGGAACTCGCAAACAGAAGAATATTCATTATCAATAAAAACTTTCTGATAAACAAGTAGGATTTTATTGATCATGAATGAATAATGATGATTTGGAGACCATATATGAATAAGCATGTCATGCGAGGGAGGGATACAGAAATCCTGATACAGTTATTTCCCAAATGTAGTGATAATATTAGTATGAATAAATGGGTTTGAAGAGGTCAAAGGTCTTCCTTCAAGATTTGATCGAGTTGGAGCAGCCCTTTCGCCATCTTTCGTGCTATTTTTTTTTTTTTTTTTTGTCTTTTTACGTTGTAAATGGGAGTTTAAACCCCTAAAATAAGTCCAGGAAATTTGACCTTTTGATGAGTTCAAAGCAGGAGGAACAGCGACTTGAAATTCAACTTTCAAAATTGATCCGTGTCGTGTATATGATGAATTGATGATCGTTCATCACCTTACCACTGCCGGCCTAGTATTTATTGACTCGTTGAATGGCAATGGGCGAACTCATAAAAGAAGTTAAAAAGGTTATGTTGAAGGATTCGAACTATAGTAATAATTGAGGTAGAAAACTAAAGCGTTATACACTAATCTATTTTCTAAACTTATTACTAAATTTATATGGACTTTTACTCTTTTAACTTCATTAAAATCGATGAGGTTATACACCCAAATTTAATGTGACTCCACCACTGAATTTCAACGTATTACGAGATGATAAGTCCAAATGACACACGTCACTTGGTAGATTAATTAACAATGCACTAAGCACATGTAATTATTCCATCATGATAACCTATTATCCAAAGTGATAAGTCATAACACACCTCAAATTAATTGGTTCCCACCTAATATAACATGCCATTAATGAAAAAACTTATAAGTCTTACTTTTAGCCTTACCAGGCAGTGCTGGTGGTACTATTCTGTCGATTGACTCACTTTTTGGGTGTATTCAATGCACCCAAATCTAAAGGTGATATAATATAGCAATTTTTGAACTTTAATTGGTAGCGATAGTATGATATGATGATATAAAATAGAATCACAACTAATCAATCCATTACCTTAACTCTTTAACCTTCAATTTTGAATCCTAACCCAAAACCCCAAATTGTAGAGTTAACCCTAACCCTAATTCCCTAAACCCTAAATCATTCAAATTAAAGTAAATCTTGAATGGTTTTTGTATAAATTCATGTGTGTTCTTGTCCATCATACCATAATTGACGATTGACTTCGTTTTCACATGGATCGCCTGCTCAAAATGACAGTTATAAGGCGAGGGCATTGAATGAAAAAAAGTGAGTGCGGCAAAAAAAATTATATATAGACCAAATTCGCACAAACTATAATCAAATTTAGCTTATTAAATGTTCGCTACAAGATAAACAAGTTAATTAAAGTTCTAATAAAATACGTATCGAATTAGCAATGGTGAATGGACCATGGCTGTCTGCGGGCTCTTTGGAATATACGTCTCCCTGATCAATAAAAAATATACTTATTTATGAGATAGTCGTTTCAGTTTACTTGTTGGTTTGATTTGAGGTACTACAAACAATCATATAGTTGTGCGAAAAGTAATCAAGATTTCGATGTACGTGGTCTCTGAAATTCAATGTTGGATATAATTACGGAAAATTGAGCTATCGATTTAAGTTCTCAGAATAATATTTTGGTCATGCTGCTTGACAGTAATTGTTGTTGGTAGCCTTATAAGAAAAATATATATGCCCCTCTCAATATGCTACGTAATTAGGACATGTGTGGTTATTTATAAAACTAATCAAATTATTACTTAATGCTTCAGAATTCAAACGGTGTAATAGATATCGACACGACTCTTCTCTACAGTGAAGAAATTCATTATCTATACTATCATCCCAGATGAACTACTCATCAGAAGAGAAAAATGCCATACAAATTGATTAATTCTACAAATGAGATTACGATTCTCTACTAATTAAGAAGCAAAAATCGTCAACTAACTAGCTAACTGTATTATCGTTAGGAATAACAGAATGAAACCACAGATTATTCCCTTGGACAATTAAATATGCAGGTCTGAAAATCCTTACAACAACTCCTTGATCATGACATTATATATAATAATAGTGACTTGAAATCTGCTCACTCAACCTAGCATTACATATCAAATAATAATATGATCTGTAACAAATGATTCATTTATATAATAAATATTAACACCCAATTTATGTGTGGCAATTGATTAGAACCTATAATATCTTTACATAATCACAAAAAAAAAAAAAAACATTCACAATTTGTATGATAGTTTATGCGTGCTATTCTTGTATTGTGCTATTCTTGTACAGGGATCATGCTAATCATCTCTGTATCATTTCAATTTCATCGAATGTCTCCAAAAGACATATTGTATGATGATAAATATGACAATATCGAACACATTTATTAATGAAAACGTAATTATATGTGTGGGCTTCATTTACAGTATGGGAAAGGGTTTTTTGATGGTTTTATGATAGTAAGAAGAAGAAGAAGAAGTCAGAATTCTCCGCCAAGTGAAAGAGAAAAAAAGACTTGGATCGGTGGAGGGGGGTGTAAAAGAAAATATAAAATCTATTCAAAGTAATTTCATAAGAAATCAAAAGAAAAATAATTAAAAGTCCAATTAATTAAACACCTCCGAAAATCCCAATGATTCTGTCGCCAACGAAACTCACAATCTTCCTCACCGCACTCTTCTCCAAGTCCACCTCATCGCGGCCGGCGGTCCGGCCGTCCTCCTCCTCGTCGTAACTGGCGTCGGGACTCGCCACCTGGTCTGCCGATTCTGCTTTCCGACCGCCCGGTCCCATATTATTCAACTCTCCATCCTTCCCCCGACGCCGCCGATCCCCCTTCCGTGTCTTCCGCTTCTGGTGGCACGTCAGAGCCGCCGCCTCGTACGCCTCGATGATCTCGTGGATGAGGTGGCGGTTGGAGGAGGCGTCCCACCGGGCCCAGAACGTCATGTAGCACCGGAAGCAGCTGCACTCGAAAGTCGGCCCGTGGTTCTCAACATCGGCCGCCGTTCCTTTCTTGCCATCTCCGCAGGCGGTGGTGGTCTTCCTCTTGTTCCGGTGGCCGGCAGCGTCGGAGCAGCAGGAGATGAGGTAGGCGAGGACTTCCTTGTCCTGAGGAGAGAGGGCGGCGGTGAGGGCGAGGACGGCCGCCGGGAGGAGGGAGAGGAAGGTGGCAGTGGTGGGCGGCGGTTGTGTTGTTGGTGGCGGGGAAGGGTGGATTTTGCCCTTCTTGTAAGGGTTCTTCATTTTTGGTGAAGTTGAGTGGCGGAGAGCTTATGGTTATGGACGGACGGAGGAGAAGAAGAAAATGGGAATTTAATTTGTGGTTGGAGCCGAAGCTTTTCTTTTTCTTTCTAATAATTTCAGTTGGTCGGGAAGTGATATTTAAATGGGGAGAAAGGCAGGGAAGGAAGTGGAAGAATTGTTTGTTTGTGTGGGGGCGGTGGGGGAAATTAGGGTGACGCGCTACCATGAGAGCGTCACGAAATGAGATGCTTTTTTTCTTTCTTTCTTTTATCGAATTATCTGTGATACTAATTTGAGTTAAATAATTTAGTATATTTTTATGACGTTATATGTATGAGATTTTTATCATGAATTTTACAAATGTTAGCTATAGCATACTCTTGCCGACTTACAATTATCATAAGGAGATTGAAGCAACAATCATACACAAATTATATTGATCAAACTCTGAGCGCAACTAGGCTCACTCGGGGCTTCAACCCCTGTCACAACCCTTAGCTCCGAATCGATTTTGGTTTATTGGTTCTTGTTTCGGGTTGTGTTCATTAGTGGATTCTTCCCAGTTTTTTTTTTTTTTTTCACACAATGTATTGTTATAATGTACTACACATCGTAACTGATTTGAGAGTGATAGAACTAGTGTTATTGAATTCGGACCACACCAATCGATCCATTCGGTAAAATCATCGATAGGTCTTCAATTCAGTCGGCCAGTTTAACCGCCAATTTGTTTTTACCGGTCAGAATTGATACCTAGTACTGGACGTCCAGGTTCTAATAGCGAGATGAAAAATGACTCTAATGTAAACTAAAGGTGATGGAGTTTGAACGAAGTTTTACTTTTAATATCATTGAATAATTAATTGAATAGTGTTCTTAATTTTATTAAAAAATAGCATGTATTATCATTAAGTATTTTCTACATCCGTAAATGATGGTTTTTAGTTTACATGTATAATTATTTATTAGTAATATTATAGAATCAATATATAATTACAATACTATTAATGATTTCTACTTACAATGTTTTTGTTTATGAAACACTAGTTCGTAATGAATTAAAGAAAAGAGGTTGCACGCGCTTGGAAGCGGGAGTGGCGGTAATGGTGGAAAGGGTGCCAAAGAAAATATTCATTCTTTGGAGTCGAACTCGTACGCGGAGAGTTCAATGAGGTCCCACTTCCCCTGCGTTATCCCCACCGCACCTCACACCACCAGATATCGAATCGAATCGAATCCTACACTGCCGCATGTACACAATTTTTATTTCCTCTCCATTCTTTGCTGCATATATAAATCCTTTTTCGTAGTAAACAAACACAAGAATAATAATAAATTCATATTTGTGGTGTTTCTTAATGCATAATCTTAAATGAAATTCAATCTAACATTTTGTTTGAAGTTGGCTCATGTTAGAGTTCATTGGAATTCGAGCAGAAAATTTCTTGTTCCAAATCATATACAGTATACTACTTAATACAGAACATTACTCGACTTGTTGAATGACACAGAAATTAATGAATCTCAAAGTACCCCACGACACAATTTTTCAGTTTTTCAATACAAAATTGAAAGTTCATAATGCTTTGGTGGTGCAGTGGTAGATGTCATGTGCACTGATTTATTCTAACTAATAAACACACGATCTTCTAAATGATTCATTCAAGTCTCATATCCTTAAGACCATACTGAATGATTCATTAATTTCATTAATATTTCAAATACGAAATTGCGAATAAACGCCTACACTATAAGTTTGTTTGGTATTTGTGTTAGATAACAATTAATCACTGATTATAAAGTTTTTCTCATTGAGACCATAAAATTCAACAACAGTTATTTATCGTTACGTACCGGTACAAGATTGATATTATAGTTTATAATTCTTGAATTAATATCATTACCTGGATAAACGATCTGTTATGTGTGTACAAGTTAAAAGAGAAGTAAACAGCTTCCACACTATGTTAGTGTTTCAGGATGCATGATTTCCTTGGAGCTTAGATGCAGGAACCATGCACAATGATTCTGCTTCTTGTTTCCATTGTACGAAATAATAGTGATATCGGATAAATCATGGCCGTAAGTTTCGATTTTCTTTTTTTAAAAAAAAAACAAATAGCAAAATTGGCCATTTTTGTGTATTTTGCTTTGGATAGATCGTCAACTAATTACCCCCACAAATTGTTAATTAATTAAATAATTAGTTGGAGCTTGTGATACGTTGGGTTACCGATCCACAACGGGGACTGCCGAAATGGGGTAAAGCAGTATAGTGACGGCCGTTTCCTTTTTGTTTCCTTCGTATCGTCTTAACTGAGATGTTTTGGTGAATATATCCTCCATTATTTCAATTATTATCTACACCGGATTGACAAATATAACTCTATGTAGATAAGAAGATAAAAAATGGATTGAGATTATCTGCTCGTCATAAATTTTTGGACTTTTCTACATGACTGGTAAGTTACCATAATTTGCACTTATCGATCGACCTCAGTTAGGATTAGGTCGATCTAATATGTTATTTCAGTATAAGAATAGTTTCATGGTGCCTCCTTTGGAGATTCATATCTTACAATTGGCTTGATGGAGATTTGAGATTAATGGCTTGTTTTGAAGTTGGAGTGACCCTCTACATATTGAAGGGTTTTGGAGCTCGATAAGAAGACCAGAAGACCATTTTTGAACGTGATCAAAAGACTATGCCAAAACTGAAAATGTCTAAGTCTGGGAACATGTTTGTGATAGTTAGTAAAATACGGTACGGGGAAGTTACGTATAAAATATGTACGGGTATTTTACGTCGTCTCTAAGCTAATGTTACGTTTAATAGTACGTTAATATGCATAAATATATAAAATTAATTATTTTAAAAATAAATAAATAAATGCATAAATAATAAGAAAGATAACAATTTAATTCATTAAATACGGATATTAAACGTGTTATATGGGTTTTATACGTGTTTAGTAAGGGAGTCACCAAATGAACGGGGAAAAATGAAACGGCTTGACAATGATACGGATATGAAAGTTTTAAACGATAAAATATGTACGGGGTACATATACGTGTATTAAACGGAGTATTTACTAACTTTGTTTGTAAAGCCTACTTTGGAGCTCAATTCAAAAAACATGGATGAGATTCATGTCCAGGCGCCTCTACCAAGTGAAAGTAGGTATGTTTGTCTACAAAGGCAATGCATTGGATATATGGAAGGCTTCAAACAAAAGGCTCGAAGTTGCTACGAAGACTGTTTTTAGGGCAGCTTGCTTGTTCTAGAAGGCAACTTACTTCGTAGCAACTTCGAGCCTTTTGTTTGAAGCCTTCAAGATATCCAATCTTCCATCCAATGTCTTGCCTTTGTATACAAACATACCTAATTTCATGTGTAGAGGGACACTCCAGCTTCAAAACAAACCATTAATCTCCAATTTCCATCGAGCCAATTGTAAGATATAAATCTCCAAAGTAGGCATCATGAAACTGTTTTTACACTGAAACAACAGATTAGGTCGACCTAATTCTAACTAAGGTCGACCAAAAAAGTGTAAGTTACGGCGACTTGCAATGCACCATAGGCGCACCCTAAATTTTTATGTTAAGAAATGACATTTTTCTCAAGGTAAAACCAGTATTTACGAGTCATGAGCACTCAAAATGAGACTACTTTGAATGTGTCACGAAACATTTCTAAAATTTGGGAAAGTCACTATTTCATGTTTTGTATATATGATATTTAAATACTAGGCAATACTAATGTTAATATGAGAAATTATAAGCACGAATTTTCTTTAGACAATCTATACGTTTAAAATGATTTTAGACTAAATGCAAAATTTGTGCTAATTCATATCATGTAAAAGGACGCCCCTTACATGATTTTCTAACTCTGCCACCATAGAACCAAACTCAAACTCAAGAATTCATGGAAAAGTTGTGTTTGTTAATTAGTGTTTTAGAAATCGTACCATACCGGCTGATCTAACCGAAAATACCATATACGAGATCCTCAAAGGTATACGATTTTAGCAGTATGAAATGATTCAACCACACTTTTAACACGAAATATTCGATCACTACATTTTCCGGTAACTTCCGACACATTATCACATCATTAGTTGTGCCAATTTCATCTTCGTAATGATTAAATGATCATTTTTTACATACCCTTTCATGTACAAACTTTAAAATCAAGTATGTAAATATACGCTAGCAGGAGAAACAATAAATTTTACTTGGCTCCATTTGTGGTAACGCCACAAAATATGATATTGGATAGTTCATATTGTAATGCATAGGAAGAAAAAATAGGGGGAAAAGACAAAACGAATAAGATAAAATCTTCATAAGTAAATACGGGACGGCGGCAACCAATAATAATATATCAATTACTGCAGCGCCAGCATTATTTTATGGGTTTCTACTAGAAAACAGGCATAAAATATTAGTATTGATTAGGGTGATGGCAACAAGGAAAAAATAGACAAACAAGAAGTAAAATTTTTCCAAATTGTTATTCTTATGCTGTTTTGTGGAATTTGTGTGATTAACAGATCCGACTCAAAAAAAATTAGAAAACAAATGCCACTTGGTTTACTACTCTTCAAACATCAAGCTCCCTTCATTTTTTAGTTTTTTTAAAAAATAGACCCGATATAGTATTGGTTATTCTGAATTGTGTTCATCAAACATCATCCTCAGTCCACTCCTCTTTCATCAAGCTTCTTTCTCATACTGCTTCCTCCTTTCTTGCAATCACGACCTTATTTCTCTACAAAAAAAAAAAAAGTTTCTTTAATCATGAAAAATCTTGTGTTTGGAAGTGTATTTTACGTGTTTAATAGTTTTAATCACGAGAAATATGACTAGTCACGGTAAATTTTCTGTATTTCTATTTATTACGGGGAGTCATGTGATTAATGACAAATTTTGAAACACTAGCCTCACAAAACAAAAATTCATTTAGACACGGAATACACAGCGGCGGAGGCAGGCCCTTTGGGCCTTGTCCTGAGACAAGGGTAAATTTCAGTGGAGCAAAAATTCGCCATATATATTTATATTGGTGATGGAACACAACACCTATAGGTAGTATTAGAGTACTTGGTCTCTACAACACAACTCATTACTTGTCCAAATTTAACATAAAATTAATTTATTATACTATAAACAAAATTACAATTGTAATAAGACCTAATCGGGTCTCTTTTCTCCTTATGCCTATTCGATCTTTTCCCCAACAACCCTGAAATTGTCTGGCGACAACGACAATCCCACTAGTTTTGATTTACCAATTACAACTGCAAGTGTAAAAAGAGCATTTTTAGCTTTGAATTATATTAAGAACAAGTTTCCAAGTCGATTTGGTGACCAGTTTACTAATATTTATTTAGTAAGATACATTGAAAGTGACTTATATAATAGTGTAGACAACGAATGTTTTTGGGTTTCTTTCACTATATGGAATTCCTTCGTAGTTGTTTCTGAAAAGTATGATTGTATAATCAGTTATTTTTATTTATGAATGAATTATTCAGATATAATTATTTTTTATTAAATAATTCTTTTATTAGATACTTATATATTTAAGTTATGACAAAAGGACATGAGTGATTTGAAATGCTGCCTCCGCCACTGGGAATACATAACTTTTACCCTGCCTTTCTTTCAATCTTACAAACAAATTTCTCTTTCTGAGCTACTGTAACTCATTCCATTACAAAATTCACATTTCAACTTTGCAGAACATACATTCTTATAGTGCCCATATTTATGACTATGAAAGCATTGAATGTTATTCTCAAAACAGAAGCGTGCAATCGATAATCCAACCAACACGAATGAACACAAATTTAACGTGGTTCACTAACACAATGTGTGCTAGTTAATCCACAAGAAGGGAGAACCAATTTCACTAATTTGAGGAGAGTACAGTTTACAAACCAAATACGGAACATACAAACCAAACAAACTAAACTGATTGACCTTTCTACAGATTAGGGTGGTGAAGAGTATTTATAGAACTCTTCTCCTAATACCAAACAGAAAACCAAACATCTTTTTTCCAAACATACAAGGAAAAGGTCAAAACAAAGCTCAAACACAAACCCAAACAAAATAGGCCCAAAACACAAAACAAACCCAAATCGAATTCCAGTCAAATCCTAACAATCTCCACCTTGACTTGAATTCTATGCCAAATACAAGATGTACCAGACGCAACGAAAGTTGCCAGATGTACCCAAATGCGATACATATCACCAAACTCAAACGCAATGCAAATCACCAAACTCGGATGCAATCAAAATTGTCGGACGTACTAAACTCCTCCAAATCTGCTAATGAACTAGAATCTCCGCTACCTCCAAATGCCCCTAAGGGTGGTCAACAAACCAAATCATTTGGCAGGTCCATCCTAATTTAAGACTTGCCATTCAAAACCAGTTTGGTGCACTTATCACCAACAAAACATGTCAAAACAGAACCTTGTAGACCATACAAGGCACTAACCTTGACACCTTTCAGAATCACCTTAGAACCTTTGTAGACAGACAACAATCCACCTTCACTTTTGAAACTGAAACCCTTGTCATCTAGTAGACTCAAAGATATCAGATTCTTAGTCATCTCTGGAATATGCCTAACATTGTTCAAGGTGCGAACATAACCATAATGTGTCCTCATCCTGACGGAGTCTCTTCCAACAATATTATAGATAACACCATTGGCCATAGAAACATGTCCTCCATTTATCTGCTCATAAGTTGAAAAACACTCTCTGGTTTGACACATGATAATCAGCTGCAGTATTTAAATCCCACACATCCCGATGATGTACCTGTTCATTCACTGCTAAGGCCAAGCCATCTTAAAAATATCAGAGTTAGTTTCTTCCGCCACAGCAGCTGATGATTCCTTCTTCTCCTAATATTTCTTTAGTTTAGGGCAATCGAATTTCCAATGTCCCTTCTCCTTACAGTTATGACAGATATCATCCTTCAAACCAACATAATTCGAATTAATATCCGTCTTCCTATTACCAGATTGGTGTCTCCTACTACTCGTAGCAGCCAACCTAGATGCCTGATTTTGTGAACCCGAACCAAATGCTTTATGTCGAACCTCCCTAATGTGTAGAAAAGATCTGACATCTTCCAAAGACAAACTATCTTTCCAAGTAATAAAAGAATCCACAAAATTCTCATATGACTGTGGCAAAGATATTAACAGAATTAAGGCAACATCCTCATCATCTACTTTAACATCAATATTCCGCAGATCTAACAAGATAGTATTGAGTTGATCTAGATGATTCTTGAGAGATGTACCTTCCTCCATATGCAAATTGAACAAACGTTGCTTCAGAAGCAACTTGTTGGTTAAAGACTTTGTCATGTATAGACTTTCAAGCTTCAACCATAAGCCCGCAACAGTATTCTCAGCAGCAACCTCAGTGATGATATCATCAGCCAAACAAAGCAAGATTGTAGAGTGAGCTTTCTCATCCAAAGTAATCCACTCTTCTTCATCTATGCTTTTCTTCTTCGATTTTTCAGACAACGGAACCCACAAACCTTTTTGTTTCAACAGTTCTTGCATCTTAATCTACCACAAACTGAAATTATTTCTCCCAGTAAACTTATCAATCTTCATATTTATAGCAGGCATTCTTACTATCAAACAAACTCTAACCAAACTTCTCACCAAATACCAACCAATTAATTCAAAACAAACCAATCAGCGCAGTTGCAAACTACAGTAACTCTAACGAACACACAGAACTCCCAAAATTCCCAAATACTACTCAGATCATTGGCCACCACCGGAATAAATAATTCCAACACTCTGCAAAAAATTCCCAGATCCAAAGATTTCTTTTTCAAAAATATTTCAAAAGAAGCAACAACTCTTATAAAGTGGCTTCCA